GGTAGAGCAGCTTGTAGAAAATGGCATCACCTAAATCAATTTTTAAATCAATTTTTAAAAAAAGACTTTTTACGCACCTGCCGCATAATATGGCCAAAATAAACTATCTAATGAAAGATTGACAAGAAGATACAGATAAATGATAATATTTGATTCACTTTTTGCGAAGATGAGGAATAAAAAGGAAAAGCCGGCTATAAGATGTTTGACAACAGCTTCTTGAAAAAAACTTGAAAAAGGAAAGCTGAGAAACGCTGACCTAAATTTGCTAAAAAGAGACTAGAACATCTTAACGAAGCTAGCAAATTACCTTCACCCCACGGTAAACCAATCCTTTATTGAAAAGCTCGCTGAAAGCCCACCAAACACTTTCCATAAACCAAGGATAGAGTGTTTTGTAATCGTTTTTAAAATCTATCCATCGTCCCACACGCTCCACTGTAGCCTAAATGATGTTGTAACTTTAAGCAGTAATAACATATATTAACGAACTATCATATGAGAACTTCATACTTGGGATGTAAAACATGTGAAAAGGCTAAAAAGCTCACCTCCCATTCTGCAGAGTACCTCATGACAATCTTCCGGCATTCTGCATTATACTTGTCGATGCCCATCGCTAAAACATCATGTGGGCCTTTAATCCCTAGCGTTTTATCGACCTCATATTCCTAAAACGATAAAAACAAACGATAACGAAATTCAAGAGATACTAAAAAAAAAAACACTTGAAAGAAATGATATGCTACACAAAGATGTGCAACAATGACGTACAACAGGTAACCCATGTGTATCCCACCCAAAACGTCTCTCGACAAAAAAACCGTTCTGCTGTGCCCACCGAGTTACAACATCTTTTATTGTGCCTGCTAACAAATGACCATAATGCGGAAGGCCAGTTGCAAATGGAGGGCCGTCGTAAAAGGTAAATGGAGGGCAATTTTTATTTTGTCTGAAAAACAGTAGCAAATACTATTGCTCTTTGATAACACTAGTAACTTGCTCAAACCGTACAGAAAAAAATAAATTAAACGTACAGAAAAAAATAAATTAGAAAAACAAACCAGAAATTTTGAGTAACTTTGAACGAAGAAGTAGTGAAAAAAACTAGAAAAGAATAAAATTCTTACTCTAAAGTTTTTTCGAAGAGTTTCTCTCGACGCCACCTTTCAAGAGTTTTCTCCTCTTCTTTAGAAAAATCGATTTGTTCAGGAACAGTTTCCAGCTTGCCCATACTGATACGGGAGGTACTATAATTTCAAAAGCAACGAATTATATATACTGATAAAGAAGAGGTACGATAGTTACGAAAGAACATCGTTACATTTTTAAAAAAAGACGACAAAGAGATAAAACAAGTAAATTTTGAATAATTCAATGGCAGCAATTTAATTTCAACATCTAAATACTCTCCTCGGGCAAGGATCAAATAGCCATCAAGCGTACATCGCAAAAATCAACAAAAAAAAAAAAAAAAAAAAAAAAAAAAA